TTTCTGCTTTGCAAATAGCATATCATGTAGCATCATGGCAAGTTATTTTCATGAAAAGTCTTATTTCTAAAATCATTTTAACTTTTTTTAACATTTTATATGGAAGGTGTTGTATCTTAGAAACCTTTGTTACTAACATTGCATATTGCTTTTAGCAGAATATCATTATATTTGAAACTGTATAAGTTTTGGTGTCAAAACAGGAAAAAAAAACACCTGAGTGTTCCCACCCTTTTCTCTGTTAGAAAAGCCAAACATTTAGGAGTATTTTAGACTTGTATATTTACAGCTTTAATTTATTTTGTAGAAATAAAAATATATCATTTATGAAAAAGAACTACTGTGTTTTCTCTGGACTCGGATATTTAGAACTTCAGATGTATTCCTTCTTTCCAATAAAAAGAAATGTGGTTTTTTGTTGTTTTTTATTTTTATATTTTATTTTTTTGTTGTTGTTTTTTATTTTAAACTTTTCAGTCACTTGGAGTCTAAAAGAATAGAGAATAGCTGGTTTCCTCCAAACCTTAGCAGACCTTTTCTTATCCCACCTAGAGCACTTGAACAACCAGAGAAATAAACTTTTCTCATTTCAATAATAGAAATCCCACTTTTGTTCAACATTTGTCTCTCCTAGTGGACCAACTTTGGAGCAAAGGGACATACCCAAAATTAACCAACAGTCATTAAGAGACGTCCTTCAGGAAATGAAGGGCTTGCATTATTTACCTCTTTCGTAAAAATAGAAAACAAAAAGCGCAGAGCCCCTTGGTGTTTACAGCGCGTTGCTTTTGAACTGCTCTGAGCATTCTGTTTTGTTTTATGTTTAGTGTTTCGGGATTACAATGCCCTGGCATTGTCTTAATTAGCATCGGTTACTCCTGTCTGCAGTCTTATAAATTATTTAATTTAAATGAAGGTTGTATGGGTGACAATAGGTGTATTAATCATCTGTTGCCAAGTAACGAGTCACACCAAACCTAGAGACTTAAAACAGTAAGTTTTAAAATACCGACTGGTTCCTTTCGATCAGGAATCCACGGATGGCCTGGACAGATGACTCTGGCTCAGGATCTTTTATGAAGATTAATTGCCAGTGTCATATATACCTGGTTGTGTGGAGTTTATAGAAGGGTTCACTGGAGCTGAAAGGTCCACTCTGAAGGTGACTCCCCCACTGCCTATCAGATTTGTGCTGGCTGTTGGTAGGAGGCCTCAGTTTCTCACTGTATGCTACGATTTGTGTCCCCCTAAAGCCTTACGCGGTCATAGGTTGCTGGGACTAGAGTGTGGAATTGATTACGACACAATGCCAGGCTCAGAGGCACTAGGATTTTGAGCGTGAGTGCCACATTCCCTACATAGCCGGGGTAAGATGTAGGGGCAGAAAGAGCTGTGGTCGTCTCTTGCTTTGCTACCTTCTGCCACCCGTGAACCGTTTCTGCCACCCTGCCTGGGAGCCACCTGATTAGGGACTGAAATCTCTATGAACTGTGGGCTAAAAAAACCTTTCCGCCTTCCACCTTGGGTGTTAGGTGTTTTGTATCAGCAACAAGAAAAGTAACTAAGACACCATATACACCGCTCCAAAAGGCGGCTTGGACGTCTCTCTGTCCCATGTGTGCGCTGGCTTATCTTATGGCATGTGATAAGAGACAACAAGATGTAAGTTACCTTGTCCCCTATGTCACTTCCATGATACCCTACTGTAAGTTAACTCTGCTCATTGTGAAAGAATATACAAGGTATATTAATACCACATACTAATATATATAAGTACAAGACATGGGCCTTTGGGAACTATTTTAGTGCTATCTGGCTACTGCAATAGGAGAATGTTTCATCTTTGATATTGTTCAAATATCCTTAACTTAAATTTCCCTAAAAGTAAAATAAATATTGGGGTATAAAGTTTTCAGTTTTTCTTCCTTTCCCCCAACTTCTGCATTGATTATTGGTTTATTGCAATTTTTGTTTGTATATCACATACCAGCTTTTCAGATACATGGTCATCAGAGAGTGACATCATGGCAAGAGGGGTTAATTCTGAGGCTTGTGCTGATCAGTGCCCTGCGGTTCTGTGAGGCCCTCAAGTGGGTCGAGCCTTCAGTGGACGTTGCTTGAGCACTTCTCATGCGCGGGGCGTTATTGAATGCAGGTATCAGGGCTGTGTCTCTGCCTTCAAGAAGAGGCAAATATTTAATTACAATCTGTGCTAAGTGTGACTACACACTACAGCGGTTGAAATCATGGGCCTGGACAGCAGTCTATTTGACTTTGATTTCTGGTTCCCCACTTAAGTATTTGCATCCCTTTCCATTCTTTAGTTTTCTCTTCAGATTATTCCCTTGTTACAGCTGAAATACCCAGTTGGGTAGTGGTGAGAACTCAGTAAACAGTGCCAGTAAATACTGAGCATCGGCCCCTTGAGAATACCTGGAATGACTGCTGTGGGTGAGGAGAAGCTCCAGGGTGTGCCAGGAAGAAATGTTAGGTCTCTTGGAGAGCAGAGTCAGGGTTTGGCCAGTAGGAAGAGTCCTTGGACCTGGGTGTGGGGTGCCAGCCGGGAGAGGAGCTTGAGGCTGGCCTTGAGCAGCAGTGAGGTGGGGCAGCTGGAGATGGCAGCCCGAGAGGGTGCCCGAGGTCTCAGGTGAGACATCCTCTACGTCATTTTCTGAGGTCATGACCACTTAAATTTCAGATATCTTACTGCCTTCTTGAAGAACTTATAAAATTGCTGGAGCTTCTGTTCATATTTTCTAACTAGTGATTCTAGAAGAAGTTACAGAAAGCAAAAGATGGAGCTTTTTGGGGAAGGCTTTCAGAAGCAGTCAAGGGTGACAGGATTCGGTCTCTGGTTTGTCTCTGTGAAGTGACCTGCTGAAGGGTGAGCAGCACCTTGAGTAGTGAGGGCTGGCTGAACATGAGGAAGAAATGATGCCTTAGAACCGGGAGGCCGGAAGGGAGAGGGAAGAAGCCATGAACTCCCACGGCTGTCGTGAGGCACAGTCCAGGGCCTCGCGGAGCTGGACTAGCCCCAGCCTACTTCCAGAGCCCTGACTGAATCAGTTTGGTAATTATAAAAGTCTAAAAAGGAGAAATTTTAATCTCAGCGTTAAGTATAAACTAGTACATTTTTAGATTATATGTGAGAGAATACACATCACAATCCTCCTGGCCTTTAATGTTTGCCTCTATTGATAACCTTATTTTTTGAACAGAGTACAATAAAGATTATGTCAGTTTTAGACACTCCCTGTCAACTGCTCACTTTCCACTTCAAAAGTTTTCTTATTGATCTTTAAAGGGGAACTGGATTCAAACTCAGGCAGGCACTTAGGCCACTGAGCTATCTCCTGGGCCCCTCTACTTCAAAAGTTTTCTTGAAGACAACTAAAAAGGAGAGATAAATGTTTAAGGAAAAGATGAGTGGAAGGTATTTTGACTGGGTCATTAAGATTATTTTTGCCAACAGGCCTCAGGGTAGGAGTTAGTGAGGTGATGTTGGTCCTGAAGCCTTCCATGGCAGAGGTGCCCCTCCCTGGATATTTGGATGACATACTCCTTACCAGCTCACTTCACGCGCTGAAGGTGTGACTGGCTTCTGGTCTCTTTAGGAGGTTGGTGATCTAGTGAAGCTCTCTCCCAGTGTCTGGTATAATAGGAAGAAACAGATTCTGTGATACTTAGTTGGTTTGGAGCCTGCTTCTTTTCATTAGGAACAAAAAATTACATATATATATATA